GCAAATCCAAAATAATTATATTCTTATATTCCAATATGAGTACCAGTCATCGAATAAAAAATCAAAAAAATACTTATATATGAGTATCTTTTGTCTGAGATACAGTACTGACGCTGATTGTTCACTTACTTCACATTTTCTTTCATAAAATATTTCTTACAAAAGATGTACTTACTCCATCATATTTTATGTGAGTTAATAATTTTTTAATTGAAACAAGCTTCGACTACTTGAAATTTTGCAAGTGAAACTTAACAATTTGAAAAGTACTAGAAGAATTCCATTTAACTTGCTGATTAATTATATAGTTATATATATTTCTGCTCTTTACCTAAAGTGTTTTGGTACATTTCCAAATTCCAATTAATTATGGAGATAATATTTTTTATTTACGTATCAAACATTTTAAAAACACATTTTCCTTAGTGCCGAGCACAAATGACTAAAATCGAGGAATTAGTGATAGATAAAATTTCATAGCTAAATAACAAAAATTTCATGTTAATATCATTTAGCTATGTATTAGCGGTGATTTGTAAGAAAATTCAATAAGCTAGAAGCATTTCAGCAATAAATAAAAATTTATAGTTAAACAACAAAAATCTCATCAGATTAACGACTGATTATAAAAAAAATAAAATCAATTAGCTAAGAGTGTTTTAGCGACAGATAAATTTTTATAGCTAACCAACAAAAGCTTTATGTTAATCCCATTTAACTACAAATTAGAGACGGATTATAAAAAAAAAAATTAATTAACTAAAAGCATTTTAACAATGAATTAATTAGATATTATCAATACATTTCATAACTAATTTCATGTTTTCTTCTGGTAAGATACAAAAAAAAAGAAAAAACTACTCAGTAAGATGAGATAATAAAATGTGGGAAATTCACCCATTTATTTTAGCTAATAATTAAATTAAAATGTCCTCCCTGCACACTTGATCAATTCAATTCAACATACTGGTTGATAGAGCAGAATTTCACATGGGGCTCTTCAGATCAAAATTAAATAAAAAAGGATTTTTTTTTTCTTATCTTATTTCAATTTTCGAGAGAAATAATTTGTACAATACTGTAATATATAATATGGGGAAAAAGGACGAATATACCCCCAAACTATCATAAATGGTATTTAAATACCATTCGTTATACTTTTAGGACACTGGTGACCTTACTGTCCAAATTTTGGGTTGTATATATCCTTTGATCTAACGGAGAGACACGTGTCATAATCTTAATCGCGTATCCAAAATTTATTTATTTATTATCCATAATTAAAAGGCCTAACCCGAAAACCCGCCCAAATAATTATAACCCAAACCCACCCCCACCCCCAAAAAAAACCAATCCCAAATAAACTCCAACTTTATTTTCTTCATTGTTCCACCAACCATCGGCAACCAATTAACACCCCACCGAACCCACGCCGGAACTCCACCACACCGTCGCGACTCATCTTCTCCGACGAAGTTCCACAACAAAACCACCTCTAGTTGCTACTAAATTCAACTCCCTCGCTCCGGGCGAAATCAGCGATGCAGTGACCCTTCGGCCACCATGAAACTTGACCATCATGAACCCGTCTCTCCTTCATCACTGCGCCAGTAGAACCAGCGAAAAGAACCAGAAAGCTTCGAATGGATTTACAATCGCAAAATTAATAACTTGTTTTGCCTTATTGAAATTTCAATTTATAAACATCTGGTTGTTGTCAGTTTTGGTAGTTGGTGATGATTTCTCAATCAAAACCTCTCACTAATACCTCACGAGTTCAAAATAAATCAAAAAATCTCTTTGTCCTTTCTCCCATCTTTCCCCCTATCTTCTCAAAATCAAACATATTGTTATTGACTCACGTTTGTGCTATCTTTATCAGGTTTATTGATCACACAAGAGAGGAGCATGTATACTTGGGGGGTTTTGGGTTATAATATGTATGAAAGCGAAGACATATAAAACCTCTGAATACCGAACACGTGAGGATAAAACATATGTCAGAAATGACAAAATGTTTAAGCAGGAAAACTAAGGTTGAGATGAATGCAGGAATCTACATGTAAGCCCGTTGAGACGAAGCCAAAAAAAAGATTTGCTGGATAAATTTGATGAGTTTATGAACGGCCAATAGGATTAAATCTAACATTAACATGAAATACATTTACAGAGCTTCAGATGGAAAAAGGCAAAAACCATCAGAAAATATAAGAGTTTGAAAGCGTAAACAATAGGGAAAAGAGAAATGGAGAAACCATTGTAAGCAGAAGGTTTGAAGCATTGAAAGGGTGTGGTTCGATGGTGAAGACAGTGTAATAGACAAATACATGCAATTATTCAGTAGAAGTTTGCAGTACATGCATACAGTATAATATGGCTTAATATAGTGTACATGCGAGAATTTAAGAATCACAAAAAGAGCAAAACAGAAGACAAATTAGGAATCGGAGAAACAACAAATGATGGAGGAAACATGTAAATTTTACTTAAACCATGAAGAAGTACCTGCGCAGATCGTCTGAGACAAACAGAAATCTTCAGCAAAGCTTCAGAGAGAGATTTAAAGGCTCTAGAGAAACAGAAAACAGTAAAGAACAGATGGAGTACTTGCGCAGGTCATCCGACACAAACAGAAATGTTGAGGAAACCTTTAGAGAGAAATTTAAAGGCTGCAGACAAATCGAAAACAGTAAAGAACAGATGGATTCGCCATTGAAGAGTTCAGAAGTAGAAAGAAGAGTTCAGAGGGAGAGAAATTAGGGTCGCTTAAACCATGAAGAAGTACCTGCGCAGGTCGTAGGAGAGAAATAGAAATCTTCAGCAAAGCTTCAGAGACAGATTTAAAGGCTGTAGACAAAGAGAAAACAATAAAGAAGAGATGGAGTCGCCATTGAAATTTCGCTTAAACGACGAAGAAGAACCTGCACAGTTCGTCGGAGATAAACAGAAACCTTCAGCAAAGCTTCAGAGAGATGTAGACAAACACAAAAGAGTACAGAACAGGTGGATTCGCCATTGAAGAGTTGAGAAGTAGAAAGAACACTCGAGAGGGAGAGAAATTAGGGTTAGAAATTTGAGAAACTTCTAGAGAAAGTGAAAGGAAAATGAGAGAGGGCTTTATTGATGTACAATTAGTACTACGTTTAGTACAATCAAAAGATGCATTGTTGGTCCTGTAAATGTACAACTTCAAAATGTACAATTAGTACTGCCTTTAGTACAATGAGCAGATGCAGTGTTGGTCCTTTTAAATGTACAATTAGTACTGCCTTTGGTACAATGAGCAGATGCAGTGTTGGTCCTTTTTAAGTGCCACTTCTAAATAAGGGTAATGTGGGTCTTTTTATTTTTTGGTCTTTGCCGGAGAGGATGAAATTGCAGTGGTGTTTTCGGTGTCGATCTATTTCGTGGGGGTGTTTGGATGGTGGAACAATGAAGAAAGGGAAATGGGTTTATTTGGGTGTGGTCTGTTTGGTTTTTTTTTATTTGTTATACTTATCCGGGTGGGTTTTTGGGTGGGCTTTTTAACTAGGGATAAAAAGTAAATAAATTTTGGATAGGCCGTTAAGATTGTGACACGTGTCTCTCCATTAGTTCAAAGGGTATGTACAACCCAAAATTTGAACGGTAGGGTCATCAATGTCCTAAAAGTATAACAAAGGGTATCTAGATACCATTTATGATAGTTCAGAGATATATTTGTTCTTTTTCCCTGTAATATAGTATCAAATAATTAACTTGGAAAACAAACAGGTGCCTATAATAATAAATTAATATTATTAGCTACTTGGAGTATCTACGTGCGATCTCACGTTGATTTGTAGGTCCATTATTTACTAATCCAAAAGGGTAAAATAACGATATTATTATATTATATATAATAATAAACCTCACGAACTGTCCATAATAAGTTTTTATTTAATTAATATATTATCAACAATCATTGCACTTATAAGGCGTCGAGTCATATGTTAATTGACATATCTTCACCAAAAAATCTCTTACCGTATCAAAATAAATGTTAATTTAGCTCATTAAAAAAAATATAATTTACTAAGTTATGCTTATTTATTAAATGATTTTTAGAATTGAGCATTATTAAAAAGAAATAAGTATTTAATATAAATGTATAGTTGGAAAATCATACTAATTTTAGTCTTTAATTCTTGGACAACTTTTTTCTTGCTAAAGTGAAACTTATTTTAAAATGAATTGAGTATATAACTATACACTTTTTTTCTTTTTTTTACATTTTAAATTTTTCTAGTGAAAATATTGGTTCCTCCACAAATTGCATCGCTAACAAAAATATACACTCACTTTGTTAGTGATGCAATTTGACACACTTTAAATGGCATTATCCAAAGTATCAGTAGTGGACACAAGATTCTCATGAAGGGGTGTCAATGGTTGTAGTAAGAAAATAATAATAAAAAATTATGAAGCCATAGGGCTTGAAAACACAACCTTTAGGAACTTTTACAACCCCTTAACCACTAGACTAAACCCTTCCACTTGTGTCAAGAGGTGTCAATACTTATATATATATTTTAAACCAAAATTTGATCTATATACAATGTAATTTTCCGGCAAAGGGGTGTCGCTTGACACCCCTCGGTCAAGGGTGGTCCGCCCCTGCAAAGTACAATGGTCAAACTTTCTAATTTTTCTGTGAGGATTCTGACATAGAATCTTCACAAAAAAAAAATTGAAATTAAATTTACATATTTAAAAACTATATTAAAAAAAATATTACAAATTATAATAATTAACAATTCAAAATATTTTAAAAAAACTTATAATAAAAAATATTATTTTAACCTTTCAAATAGTAACAATGTCATGTAGAATGAAACAAAAAAGTCAGCGGGTAATTCCAAAATGGCAAGGGCACAACAATATTGACGTTGTGATCGAGTGGCTCCACCAATAAATAGTAAGTTCATAATAAAGCTAAAAACCTTCACTATAAATATGCATGCAATGTTAAGGTAATAAACAGGCAAAAAGTGAAGAAGCCTTTTGAGTATTACAAAAAATAATTTCATCAAATATAATAGTTTTTTCTCTTATTTTAATTTGAATAATGGAGGTCATGATGAACAATCACAACAATGGCACCACCACCAACACCAAAATTATTCACAAAAATGGTAGCATTTGCAATGGCAACTCCCATACCCATAATAATGAAAATAAGCTTGTAGAGTTCACTAACTCTATCAAACCGGGTTGGTTTTCTGAATTCAGTGCACTCTGGCCAGGTTAGTCGTCTTAAAATTATATAACATTTTGAGTTTATGAATTCTAAATTTTCATTTTTAATAAATTATTTATACATTAAATCTACTTTTGTCAAACTTATATGGACTGTTAGCTCCATTCCTACACATTGACTATCTTATTTTTATTACATTATATATTATATGTAAATTTTGTATATGTTATAGCAAGTAACCTGTTTTATTTTTGTGTTATTAATTAATTGTACGGTTTTATTACTTGTAATGTCATTTAGGGTTTAAGTTATATATATGTTTAATTTTTTTATAATATCAATGTAATTTTAACCTAATATTATAGTTGATTATTTACTCCATTTTCTAAGTTATTTAATTTGACCGTGTTTATATATTATAGATAGTTAGGTCAGTTCATTTTAAAAAATACTTATCTATTATATTCTATCCGTGCACATAGTGTATACGTACTGATCTGCCATTTAAGTGATATATAGCATTAAAATTCTTGTACTATCAGCATAATATATAGTACTCTCACCTTATTGATATAATAATATTTGCTCAAATATTACTCTTCTTTGTTATTTTATCGATTTCAATTTATTTGTTTTAATTTGATAACTTTAGTCGTCTTTAACCATTAGTGTAATCAAATTATATGCAGGTGAAGCATTTTCACTTAAAATTGAAAAATTACTATTCCAAGGAAAGTCTGATTATCAAGATGTCATGCTCTTTGAGGTAAATATATTTACATCAAATAAATATATGTATATCATGTGTATAATGAATAATGATTATACATAACTATTACTTAACCATGATTAGTTAATGCATGCATGTATAGAACATTCTATCAAATCACTCGACTATAATAAGTTGTATCGATTTGATATAAACATCGTGCAGTCAACAACGTATGGGAAGGTGTTAACACTGGATGGGGCAATTCAACACACAGAGAATGGTGGATTTCCCTACACTGAGATGATTGTTCATCTCCCACTTGGTTCCATTCCATCTCCCAAAAAGGTTAATTATATAGTTCGCAACGATAAAATTGTCTTTTTGTGACTTATTATAATAGGTCATGGATTACAATTATAAAAGCAGTCGCCAATACTTGTATTTTAGGTGTTAATCATCGGTGGAGGGATTGGTTTCACGTTGTTTGAGGTTTCTCGTTACCCAACTATCGAAAAAATAGACATAGTTGAGATCGATGACGTGGTCGTAGATGTAAGTTTCATTTAAATTAATTATACATGATCGATATATCATAGTGTAAATTTTTATAATCATTTTACAAAAAAATATTATAACTTTCTTGATTTATATATTTTTTTTCTCTTTTTCGATAGGTATCTAGAAAGTTTTTCCCATACCTAGCAGCAGGATTTGATGATCCTAGAGTCACTCTTATTATTGGCGATGGTAATTAATTAATTAAAAATCTTCATTTATTTTAATTTCTTCATCTATGTTAATTAATTTGATTTTATCTTCATCTTGTTAGGAGCTGCATTCGTGAAAGCTGCTCAACCTGGATACTATGATGCCATTATTGTTGACTCTTCTGATCCTATTGGTAATTTATTTACAGAAAAATAAATTATAAGGTTAATTAATAAAGTTATCGTTTAGTAATAATTGATTTACATTGTTTAGTTTTCGTATCAGTATTGCTATCATGACTCTCTGATCATCATTCTCCGATTTTTAGTATGTATTTGTTATTTAATTTGCTTCAGTCATCGTATTATTTATTGTTGTTAATGTTCTCTTCTTCATTCACTACTAGAAACAAAAGTATTTCCCACCGCAAATCAATGAAAATTTTATGCTATAAAATATGATTTTTTCACTTATTATTCACCATATCAACTCAATGAGAAAATGCATGATAGGAAATAGATTCTCACTCAAGTAATGGAAAGCTTCCTAATTTTTTCGTCGTATAAAAACATTATTATTTTTCTTTTCTCAACAATTCAATCAAAAGATCTGTGGAAAATAGTCACTGAACATTTTTTTAACGGGGAACTTCAATTGAAAAATAGTGGTTTTTAGTACACACGTATATAGTGATTGTTTTCGACATGATTTCTTCACTATTGCATTTGTTTTACATGTTTGATTTTTGATATGTTTTACTTGAACGGAGGCGGTCTATCGGAAACAACCTCCCTAATCTTCATAAAATATAATAAGATAACATACACACCTCCCTCCTCACACATCACTTTCAGAATTACATTGAATATATATTGTTGTTGTCTATGATTGAATAGCAAATAATTATTCTATTTTTTATGTTATCATATCAAATTTACCATAAATTATTTTAGCTCGACTTAAAAATTCATATATACTGTCAGTATATAAAACTTACGATTTACAGGTCCAGCAAAAGATTTGTTTGAAAGTCCATTTTTTGAGGCAGTGGCAAAAGCTCTAAGGCCAGGAGGAGTAGTGTGTACACAAGCAGAAAGTATTTGGCTTCACATGCATCTAATTAAGAAAATTATTGCAAATTGTCGACAAGTCTTTAAGGGTTCTGTTAATTATGCATGGACTACAGTTCCTACTTACCCTACGTACGTGTCTTTCTCTCTTTCGTTCGATTTCTGTGTTTGACTGAATACAAAATTAAATGATTATCTTTTTACGTATATAAAAATAGCTTTTGACGGTAATAAATATTCACATTAATAAAGAATGTTAAAGTCTTATCATCAACATTAGTTAATCGTCATTAGATCTATTGTTGCTATAGGCTTAATTTAGCGACATTCATAAAAGAGTGATAAAATGTAATTGTCAGGCTTTTAAAAAACATATTTAATAATAATTAAGTTATTGCCGTTAATTAATTGTTGCTAAAGATCATTTTTGATATGATATTTCCTGAATCTTATTTATGATATTAAACTAAATATATGTATGTCTTTTATTATTATTATAAAATGTTAAATATGTTACGTAAGAGATTAGAAATTAAAAACATGATATTCTTATATAAATAAACTAAGAATAAAAGTAAATCAAACAAATGAAAATAGAGGGACATATAATATGATTGGAAAAACAACAAAAGTCAGAAATATTGTAGTCATTGGAATTGGAAAATTCTTCATTATTTTTTTTACTAGATATAAAATCTATTGAAGTATATAATTAATTATTAGTAGTATTTATTGTCCTATATATATAGAAAAGGGTAAAACAACTTCGATCGGACCCACAATTATTAATCTTCTAAATCATTATTATACGGGAAAATTATATTGTATGAAGTAACAAACTATTAATTCAAATTAAATGTTATAGCCATAGTTTATTTTAATTGTAATTCGCAGCAAACATCCCCCTTTTTTTGCCATCGGATTCGGTATACAATTAGTCATTTTGTACATTTTGGTATAAAATGCGTTTGTGTTTGTATAAAACGAGAGAAAAGTGTATATACAAATACAAATACATATATTTTCGTCCTATACACTTATAATTATACAAATACATATCTTATTATACAAATTATAATGTATACATGAATTTATCCAAAACTGAACAATTTGTATAAAATTGGATGTTTGTAGAGAATTATACAAATCAAAAGCTCCATAGCAAACATAAAATTTGCTATGGAGCGCAATTATGCAAACTATAGTTATATATATAACATACAAATATGATTTTTATGTTTGCTATATGTGAAAGTTGCTCTTATTATAACGCTATGAAGTGGTTAAATATTTTACCAGTAAGTATTGTTCTGTCACTATTTAAAACCGCTAAATATTTACTGTTTTGATAAATTTTCGTATAATATATAGTTTATCGATTTGATTTTCAGCGGTGTAATTGGTTATATGCTTTGCTCTACGGAGGGACCAGAAGTTAATTTCAAGAATCCTGTGAACTCTATTGACAAACATGTCAAATCCAAGGGACCTTTGAAGTTCTACAACTCTGATGTAATTACACATCTCACCCCTTAATGTTTTATTCTTTTTACTTTTGTGTCTTTTATTTTGTTAATTTGTCAATTGACCCCTTGTTTTTTTTTGCTATTTTCAGATTCATAAATCAGCTTTTATATTGCCGTCTTTTGCGAGGGATTTGATTGAATCTTGATTTTATGGCATATTTATTGTACCAAGATTTGTTGTGTATGGTGAAATAATAAAGAAGTTTATGTCTATGCAATTTACTTAAAATAAAATGTATAATGTAATAATAAAGTATAGGGAATAGTTATCTACCAAAAAGTGTAACATTGTACGTACGAAAACTATTGTTATTCATTGATGTTTATTTTGAGTTCGTGGTTATAAAAAATCATATTAAGTAGTAATTAATATCTTGCATTAGAGTATTGCACATTTCATGATTTTGGTTTCCTTTTTCTTTCTTCTTTATTAATTACTATAATAGTAATAATAAAAGAACCACATGACATAATTACTCTATGCATTTCAAATTATTTATTGAGTTTTTCTATCACATGCTACTAAATTTAGGTATATATTTAGTATTCAAGAACAATCATATCATATATAAAAGAGAAACATAAACAAGGTGATGTGGCATCTCTTTATGATCTCCATTTTTATTTATCTTTTATCTCTTTTTTGACTTTTTTTTTTTTTTAATTTCTTTAATTATTTTATTTTGTAAAAGCATCTCCTTAACTCATAGTTCCTTAATAAATAAAATCATAACTTTCAAGTTTTTCATATTCATAACTTTCAATTATTTAAGGTGCAAATTTGTAACATCTTAAAATCATTTTAATAGAATATTTTTTTTTGAGTTATATGTACCTCCCACTATAATTGTCTTCTTTATTAGAGTTTATAATATATATTCATGTATTCTTACACCTTAAATTTTATAATTCTTAATTAAATTTTATTGATGTGGAGTAATGACATGTTAAAAGATAAGAGCTAAATTTGTTTATTTTATTTTTTATAATTAAAAAAATAATCATTCAATTTAATCAACTTTTCGCCTCCCACTATAATTATCTTCTTAATTAGACATTTTATATGATTCATCCACCTTTAATTTTATATTTTTTAATTAATTTATTAATGTGGATTAATAGTGTATTAAAAGATGGGAGATTAAGTGACAAAAATTAATCTCTCTCTCTCTCTCTCTCTCTCTCTCTATATATATATATATATATATATATATATATATACCTTTCACTACCAAATTATGCATACATGAATTTAACCATTTTAGTTTTAGTTGTTCTTAGGAAATGTTTCAACATAATTTCAATGTATTTTAATTTATTTTTTGAGTAGTAGCAATCTATCTAATGAGATCATGTATTGATGAATATTTATCTTAATTACACTTACTATATGTGTTCTATTCTTTGTAAAATTTCTTCATAGGCTAATAAGATTTCTCATCTTATTGGTTGAAATTTTATATTTTTGCTCCATTGCTATTTTTTTCTCAATATTTTCTAAATTTTAATGATTCATGCTCTGTCATCTATATTGAGAAGCTTGACACATACAACAGATTTCTTCTAAGGTGATTCTACGCACTCAATTTTAAATTCATAAAATAAATTCTCCTCCTATTTTATTTCAATTTCTTTTATGATATATAGTTTCTTAGATTAACTTTGTTCAAGAATATGATTAATGATTGATATTGTGCAACATTGAAAATTATTTTGAAGTTTATGACTCAAAAATATAGGCAAAAATTAATTTCTTGACGAGAAATTAAAAGGAAATAAGAAGTCTACTATTAAAAATTAAGTCATTTGTATTTGTTCATAAAATTAATAACATGCATTATGCTTTATATATGTATAATGCATTTGAAATAATTGTTATGAGTAGTGCAAGAGTCAAACTATTGACTAAGTAACTGTAATTTTTTAATTTTTCTTAATAAAGATATCATTGAAAGAGTCAAACTATTCACTAAGTAATGGTAACTTTTTAATTTTTCTCAATAAAGATGCAAGTAAATTAGTAACTTCTTTGTATATTAATGATAGTTAGAATTTGGATAATTCGTCCCTTTTTTTTATATATATTTTTTTATCTTGCGCTTATAAATATATATAATACCTTTTGTTTGGAAAAAAAGAAAGAAAAAAATGCATTATCCATGAAAGTGAAAGTATTCAATTTTATATTTAGTCTACATAATAGATAACTCACTATTATTAATAGATGTTTCATCAATTATTTTTATTTTCTTATATTTTTTTTATTATCTATATTGTATATACATATAAAATTAAGCATATACAAGACGATATGATACTTTTCTATAACAACTGTTCATAACTTTTTTTCTTATCTTCTATTGACATCTTTCACTATTTTTTTCATTTAATTGTTTTTAAAAAATCTAATATCCATTATTAATAAGAAAAAATCAGCTAAAGAATAAAAAATCTGATGAAACCTTTTATGGTCAGCATTTTTTTTTAATCTTTTCTTCCATTTACTTGTATCAAAAAACTATGAAGAAAAAGGGAAAAAACAATGTCCAGTATATTAACGATAGGTAACTATCGGTAACTATAACAGATAAATATTAAAATTTAAAAAAAAAACATAAATAATTATTTAGGAGGAAAAACAAGTCTTAACTATAATCAAAATAAAATTTATCTCTTTATTTTTATTTAATTTATAAAAAGTTCATTCAAAATTATTATTATATCGCGCGAAGCGCGGACAAATTTTTATTTTTCAAAAGTAGAAAATATTGAAGACTTTATATAATCCATAACAAGATCACAAGTAAATCACTAGATAGAGATATGAATGTAGAAGAATTGTAAAGACACTAATCTTGTTCACTGCTCAAAATGTGAGTAGAATAGAAAAGTAGTGTAATATCTGACTTAGAGATCATATCCTTATATAAAATTTGTTTAAATACCTTATAATTAAATGATACGTTTTCAATAAGTCTTCATCAAACAGTCAAGAAAAGGCCAGTGGGTTTCTTTTTCTATATATATATATATATATATATAGCTAGGGATAAGGCACAAGTATCCCGTTAGACTATGACCGAAATCTCAGAGACACACCTTAACTAAACTAAGGTCCTACTACCCTCCCTGAACTTATTTTTTTTGTAATTGTGTACACCTTTTAGCTTACCTGACATACTCCGTGGCTCTACAAAATTGAGGTGCGTGGGAGATATTTCGAGGCCACGTAAGCCCAAAAGGTGTACAAAACTACAAAAAAAATGGATTCAGGAGGGTAATAGGAGCTTAGTTTAGTTAAGGTGTGTCTCTAGAATTTCGGTCATAGTCTAAGAGGTACCTGTACCTTTTTCCATATATATATCAATAATTAAGTTTAGAGGAAACAAGAGGTCGTGTTACACGCCTCTAGCTAGTCCAAACAATATAAATACAACTCAGCAAGAAATAATTTATAATTCCAAAATATTCAAGAAGGTTGATGAAAGCTGTATGGTTATTGACGCTGTAACTCCCTCTTATATAATAAGATTAATAAAATATTACGATAATCATATGTATTTATTAGAGTGCAAAATCTTAGTTTTAGAAACAACAAATAAAAATAAAGAAAATGGAAGAGGAATATTGTGTGAATGTTGATCACAGTGGCAAAGAAATGGAATGCCTTTCAATTATTCCTGGATGGTATTCAGATGTCAGTGATCTCTTTCCTGGTCAGCATTCTATCTATCTCGATTATTTTATCAGATATATATATTATTACTTTTAATATGTATTAATATTAGGTAACTTTTACGCATTAAAGCTTAAATAGATAAAAAGAAACTTACTATTTTTTGCTCTATTAAGATTTTGAATTTGAAACCTCACGATTATGCTTTCACAAAATATTCATATCTGAAATTAAATTTACTCCTTCAAGCTTAATATATTTTTTCCCACTCAAATCTATAGGTAACTGACCTAGCTTTCAAAATATAATATAATACACATTTTGTTTTTATTGTATGTGACATAATTTAACTTGACCTGCATGGTATTAATACATTTTAAATTTATGGTCTAAAGTAATTATAAGATATTGTATGGTTGTAAATCATTTTAGAAGATATTAAAGTTAAATTATTTTTCATATATATCATTCATTTGATGAGTTTGTAACTACTTCATAACTTTCTAGTAGCATAGGTTGAGAAATGAGAATAATCAAAGGGTAATAATATATTTATATATCTCATAAATTAATATAATATATTGTTTGATCTTTTACTAGTCAGAATTAAATTGTCAGTACTCTTTGGCCATGAGATGTGCTTAAATTTGATTATGAGTGGATGATTACCTATCTATAATTATATTCCTTTCTTAATATTAATATTATTATTATTATTGAATTAGAATAGCTTGTTAAATTCTGAGGGATACACTTATATTAATATCAAATGAAATATCGTTAAGGACAATATCAATGACATGTTCAAACTACAAAGAATTCTCTTCCAATTTTGTGATGAAATATTTATTTATTTATTTATTTTAACTAAATGGTGGGTAATTGATTATTGCATTGGTGAATAAAAACTGTTAGTACCTGGAGAAATTATGTCAATTAAGATAGAAAAGATATTATTCAAGGGGAGGTCAAAGTACCAGGATATTATGATCTTTCAGGTACTTATTACTTTACCATACTTTTAATTATGTAATTAATTAATATTGTAAATATTATTAATTATTAATCAATTAATATTACTGTGGCAGTCATTAACTTTTGGAAAAGTGATAGTTCTTGATGGTATAATTCAACACACAGAGAGAGATGTATGTTCTTATGTTGAAATGATTGTCCATCTCCCACTTGCTTCTATTCCTAACCCAAAGAAGGTAACTTTTTTTTTATTTATCACTCGGTGTCTGATATCTACATTGAAGTCTGACTAAATTCGAATGTGCACTAGATCAGCTTTATAAATTCTTCTGTCGTCCATACATAGATTTTCAACATATCTTATATTTTTGTTTGATATTTTTTAGGTTTTGATTGTTGGAGGAGGAATGGGATTTACTTTGAGAGAAGTTTTACGTTATCCATCCGTTGAAAAAGTTGATTTGGTCGAAATTGATGACATGGTGGTTAATGTAAGTACTTATTTTATTATTTTGGACACTTTTTAAGGCCAAAAATAGTGAATTATATATGCGACTGAAAACTTATAAAAACTATAAACAACAAAGGTCTAATATAATGTTGTGGATTGTACTTTAATTTTGTGTAGATACTCTTGTTGATTCATTATTTTGTTTCTAATTATTATTTAGAAAAAATACATAAATACAGAGTTTAAGATATTATAATCTCTAAAATTTCTTATTGGTTATAAAAAATTTAAAAAATCCCCTCTCTGATGTCACCTCTAGAATATATCATATCTCTCTCGGATACATCCCTCTCATTAAGTAATGTATCAGACACTCAAGGAATGTATCCAAGAGCAATGAAAAATCTGTGATTTTTGTAATTGGGAATTTTTTAAAAATAATATGTAATTAGCCCCTAAATTAATGAAATTTCTGTACTTTATTTATGCTTATTATTTTCCAATTAAATATAGGCTTCAAGGAAATATTTTCCTGACATAGCTAAGGGATACGAGGATCCACGTGCAACACTTTATGTTGAAGATGGTAAATATATATTGCCACTCAAATAATTTAATTAGAATTAATTAATAATATTTAGGATGAACAATATATATTAACTTTTGGATACATTTTCAATGTTGAAGGAAATGCATTTGTGAAGAACACTGCTCCAGGAACATATGATGCAATTATTGTAGATTCTTCTGATCCTATTGGTAATTAACTAGTAATATTTTGAATATAATTAAATTAGAAATGGAGGGCCATCCTTTACACGTATTTTGTGTTGGTCTTTAATTTTTACGCGAATTGAAAAAATATGTAAAATGTGTGGATGTAGGACCATCAAAATTTTTCTTTGAAAAGCCCTTCTTTGAGGCAGTTTCAAAAGCCTTAAGGCCAGGAGGAGTTTACTCAACTCAGGGTGAAAGTGCATGGGTTTTCTTGGATATTATTCAAAAACTTGTTGAAGATTGCAACATATTCTTCAAAGGCTCTGTCAACTATGGATGGACTAATGTTCCTTCCTTCCTAAGGCAATCTTCTTTCCATCTCTATTATTATTATGTTTATTATTATTGACTTGTGTGATCAACTATGCATGTCCATATTCAGAAAATGAATGTAGTGGAGAAAAGGATGCTTAAATAGATGTGTGGGCATATTAGGAAAGATATGATTGGAAATGAAGTTATACGATACAAGGTAAGAGTGACCTCTGTGATGAACAAGATGAGGGAAATGAGGCTGAAATGGTTCAAACATGTGAAGAGGAGACGCGTGGATGTGCGTCCATAAGGAGGTGTGAAAGACTGACTATAACAGAAGTTAGGAAGGGTAGAGGTAAGCCAAAGCTTACCGGAATCATGAGCCTAGATAAAAAGATATATATGAAGGTTAAGAATTTGGGTAGAAATTTAATGGGTAGTCAAGAGTTGTAGCATTTTATGTAGGAAAGGCACGAGGCTAGCTTCCCCTCCTTTAATCATATTTAGAAATCACATTTTTTTGTTATTCAGTAATTTATTACTTCCTCTGTGACATTTTATGTGAGTTAGTTTACTCAGCACAAAGTTTAAGAAAAAAATGAAGATTTTTGAAATTTGTGATCTAAAATAAATGATAGATATTTGTGTGACTATAAATCATTTCATTAAGGATAAAATGAGCTTTTTAAAATTAAATTGTTACTTAATATAGAAATGTGTAAACTTTTTTGGACAGACTAAAAAGGAAAGTAAATCATATAAATTGAAACAGATGGAATACTATTTATTGCTCAATTTACTTGGTATCTTTTTTGCTATCTTATTTCCTTATAGTTGTGCTTTAAATTCCTTCTTTCTTTTAAATCGAGGGTCTATAGAAAATAAATGCTCTATCACATAAAAGTAAAGGTAAAATTGAGTACATGTTATTTTCTTGCAAACCCCACTTTATAGAAATGCATTGAATATATTGTTTATTGTTGTTATACAAACAATAATTCTAATATATAATATTTGCAGTGGGGCTATTGGTTTTGTTATTTGCTCGACTGAGGGGCCTCTAGTTGATTTCAAGAATCCTGTAAACAAAGTTGATGTAGATATTATCTCTACAAAATCTGAATCACCTTTGAAGTACTATAACTCAGAGGTACTTTTTTTTCTTCTATTGAATTAAGATTTTATCTTTTAAGTTGTGTATATATAGTCTTTTCTAATAATACTATTTTTTTTCTTAACTGATTCACAGGTTCATACTGCTGCATTTGCTTTGCCAACTTTTGCGCAAAAAGTGCTTTGTCCTAAAAAGTGATTCTTATTGGAAGATATAGGAATTTCAAGCACTATATATTTGATGTTCAAATAAATTTGCAAGGTGATAGTCAATTGCAAACCTTATTTTCTTTTAATAAATGGTTGGTTTTTAGAGGATTTAATTTCAAATGCAAATTTTATTTTCTTGTAATAAATGGTTAATGACAATGGTGGGTGTTTAGGCCGTTCAAATTGGATATGAAAATGTCAGTTTTGAATTTCAGTTTAGAATATCTACAATATATATCACAACTCCTAAAAAATAATTTTACTCTAACTACACAGTATAATTTTCCACCAACAAAGGGGTGTCGGTCGACACCCCTCAACTACATGTGGCTCCGCCACTAGTTATATAATTTTAACTTAAATATATGTACACCTTATCAAATACATAGATTCTTAGTTAAATTTATGTATATATATATTGTTAGATTCAAGTATGTCTAATGTAATGATCCGGTTGATCTTTTTTGAAAAATTTCATAAAATTACCGTTTTTTCCTTCCTGATATTGATCCCGAGTTATTTCCATTCGAGTTTTGAAAGTTGGTCTCGAATTTTGAGTAAAAAGTTGTGAATTTTGTAAGTTCCAAATTTGAAAGGCGAAAGTTGTTGAAAGTTGTTTTTGATGTCTTTTAATTTGAAATTTCGAGTGTCAGAATGAAATTCCTTTGATTTCATTAGTCTCAAAATGTGGGAATTAGTCTATGAGAGTTGTTGGTTTAAGATTCGAATTTTTTTTGAGGATTTGAGGCCCTAAGTTGGAAATTTGTGAAATTTTGGCATTTACGTTTACTTTGGTCAACATTTGTGGTTTGGATGCTCGGATCGGACTTCTGAGAGTTCCATTGGATTTTGGGAATGATTTTAAGTGTAAGTGAGGTCTTTGTTGATTTTTGGTTGATATTGTCACGACCCAAAAATGTACATAATGTCACTTGTCTATTCCCACAAAGACAAGTCAGCCTCAAACGAAATCAATGTGGAAAAACAGTAAGAAAATAATTTGATAAAGAAAAAAATTATTTTTCTATTAAAGCCCCAAAATCTGATTGTCACGTGTACAAGCCACTCACTACATAAATACAGAATTAAGAAATAAGTACAAGTCTAAAAAATGTACAAGTTTCAAAATTAAGAAAATCAGGACTCACTTTAGCGAAGACCACAAAAGCGAGACTGGCCATTTGGGAGGAGTTCGCTTAAGCAAATCAGGACTCACTTTAGCGATGATCTCCTAAGCGGAGCTAGATTCACAAAGCGAGACCCCCAGTTTTTGTGGGGTTCGCTTAAGCAAACCTGGGTCGCTTTTGTGAAATCAGAGAGAGGTTTTTGGTCTGAAATTTCAGGGTTTAAGCCCCATTTTCATTTTTAGCTTGATAAAATCCTTGGAGGAGATTTTGAAGAGATTTCTTGTGCTAAATCATTATTTGGGTAAGCTTTTGTGACCCTAAAACTTAATTTACCTTTAATTATTTATGAATTTTAACAGAAAAACTTGAGATTTAATTAAAATGGTGATTGTGAACTGATTTTAAGTCCTTTTCCAAAATGGTTTTCACCTTCAAATAAAGATTTTCGGATTCAAACCTCATTTTTGAAATTTGGTTTTTGAGTTGAATGACCCAATTTTCAAAGAGTATGCTATGCAATGTGTAATATTATTATTTCTAGAATCTTATTAAGATTGCTTTATTGAATCATATTGTGTGGCTTTGAACATTGTTCGGAACAGGAAAACTCAAGTTTTGAATTGACTATTTGATTAAATTAAGGCAAGTGATCTCCTAAACCTTGTAAATCTAGTAGAATTGTGTATTTCCCTTCATTGTGTGTGTTGGGGAGTGATGATAATGAGGTGATGAGTTCATTATTCCACTTGATTAACCTTAATGAATAAAAAAAGAAATACTGAAAATACAATGTGTTGATCATAATGCTTGTGATTTGCCTTGTTGTGAGCCTTATTTGATTGATTGATGAAATGCTTTAATGACATTAATGTGGACTTGAATCGCTTGAACTGTTGTCTATCTTTATGGTGTGAAGTTTGTTTATGTGCATTGATTGTTGTAAATCGTGATGAGACATGTGATATAAAGTCGATGGAAAATGGTTCCGACAAGTGATGTGATATAAAACCGACGAGAAATGGTTCCGACTGGTGATGTGATTTAAGGTCGCTGAGAAATGATTTCTGCTAGTGATATGATATAAAGTCAATGGAAAATGATTTTTCATAGTAATGTGATATAAAACTGATGGAAAATAGTTTTGGTTAGTGTTGTGATATAAAGCCGATTAGAAATGATTTCGTCGTCTAGTGACATTGTGTCGAAGGAAAATGATTCTGGCAAGTGATGTGATATAAGTCGATGGGAAATGGTTCTGGCTAGTGATGTGATATAAAGCTGATGGAAAATAGTTCCAGTTAGTGATGTGATATAAAGCCGATGGGAAATGGTTCCGACTAGTGATATGATATTGTCACGACCTAAAAAAGTATATGATGATACTTGTCTATTCCCACAAAGACAAGTCAGCCTCAAACAAAATCAATGCGAAAATACAGTAAGACAAGAACTAGATAAAGAGAAAAACTTATTTTTCTATTAAACCCTTCAAAATCTGGTTGTCACGCCACTAAATACATAAAAGAGGAATTAAGAAATAACTATAAGTCTCAATCTTTGTTTCTCAAATAGAACAAGCTTAAAGAAAAAGGCAAAGAGGGCTCGCCGAAGTGACAAACAACTACTTCTTCAAATCCTTAACAAGCCTCGAAATCAGAAGAAGGAGAAAGAGATCACATGAGTCCGGGCTCGGAACCTACAAAAAAGCAAGGGGTGAGTACCAATAACACGGTACCCAACCAACAACCTAGTAAATAAGTCATCTAGCTAGAATTCGAATACCCCTTACACTCCAACCGAACCTCCTTAAACTATAACCTACACAAAAATCAGCCTAACCTTGTAATTCTACAATACACGGCTCACAAGGCCCAATATCCATAGTACAACAGTCACAATCAACAATCAAATGAATCAAGTAAGTCATTTTTAAAGTCAAGTAGTTCAATCACACACAACAAATACATCAATCTCAAATAACAAGCAAGCCACACATAAGCATCAATAATCAATATCTTGCCGGAATCATTTTGCATCGGCATAATCTTACTAACTGGAACCATTTCTCATCGGCTTTTTGTCAAATCACTAGCCGAATCAATTTTCCATCGGCTTTATAAACACTTGTCGAAACTGAGGCTTAAACCCTGAAATTTGCAGGCCAAAAATCCTCCCAGGTATCACAAAAGCGACAAGGGGTTCACAAATATGGTAAGGAAATCAGGGTAAAACTCTAACAAATTTTCTCTTTTGATTGAATTTTTTTGACAAAATTTGATCCACATTTTTCACATGCATGATAATCTTCGTTCTTCACATAAACTTCATCATTGCGGATTGTCAGGGTTAAAATTGAAGTCTTGTGCATTAAACTAAGCACATGTTAATGATATTGGAACCCTGCGTTAAAAAATATAAACATAGTTGAAAGTGGAGCTCATGCGTTGAAAGTAGGTGAAATGGTTTGATGTGCCCTTATACTTGTATGAGTTTATATTTTGGACCCTTCTATTTGACTCTTTCTCAACTGAACCCTTAAACTCAATACTTTAAGCCCTTCTGATCATTGACCAATCTTATGTGACAATTTAATTATTGAGTTGGCACTGTTGCGCCCCATTTTTCTTAAAACAGGTTTTGGTGCACGACCTAATAACTCTTTTGGACTTTTGATTGAAATTGAAAAGTCGCCACCTAAAGAATTAAGACGCGTTAGGGCACTTATCTAACCTAATTAATTTTAGCTAAGGTCAACGAACCAGAGATCAGGGTAAGGGTTCAAATTACCTCGAGGGGAAGGTGTTAGGCATCCCTTGAGGTCCACAAATTTGGGTCCCGATCGTATCTCATGCAATTTATGTGGGGGTTACAAGTAGCAATTAATGTCACTTCATTTATTGGTTGTTTATTAAACATGTTTGCTAGGTGATCACTATCATTAAGCAATTAATATCATTTTATTTGTTTATTTAATCGATTAAACATGCAAAACTAAGCGATAACATTAAATATATATATTGAACATGAAATAATTTATGAGAAGACAGAACTTACACAATCAAATAGGATAATCAATTTTTTTTTCTATTAAACTATCCCAAATAAATATAATTATTATAAACATATAAAAGGGAGAAGGAAAGGGAGACTCTGAAGGACTTTGTGGATCATCACTCGACTTTTCTTTATTTCGGTCGGCTTCTCGTAGGGACAGACAAAACTAAGGTTTGTCTTTAAGATCGAGTCGATGTCATCATCTCCGTAGGGCCTAAACTACCCCTACCCCACCACCACATGCTTTTCGTCTCTAAAAGGTGCCTAGCGTCCCCGCTTAAGGTCCAAGAGGCATTGGACTACTATTAGGACGGGTGTAGACTGAAATAAATTCCTAATAGGCTCACCAAGACACCAAGTCGAACAATTTGGACGAGCATTTAGCACATAAGTCTCATATTGGCCTTTAAATTTTAATTAATATGCTAGCAAACACAGGTAAAGTGAAAAGGTCACATGCTTAAGTGTGTGAGTATACAAACATAAATATATATAGACCGGCAATGCAACAATTTATATATTAATTTCAAAGGAGCAGGAAAGTTATTAAATGCAGGAAAGTATTAACTGATTTTAAATGAGTGGCATAACAATGATCAAGATACAGGAAATATTTTAGAGCAATGGCTGATTTTATTTAATTATTAGCATAGGTTGGTCAATAACAAGGGCTGAAATATTTAAACAGGGGCAGATGAGCATGCACATAAAGATTTATTTTTATCTTAAATGGCAAAGCGGTTGATTAATGTAGAAAATAATTATTAAGTATAAACTGATCGGGGGGGAACATCGGGTGTTTTAAAACAGACTGAAGCATGCTGAAAATAGTTGAAT